CGAGGAGAGGCTCAGAGCTGGAGGGGCACAACGGGCCCAATGTTGGTACCAGGCACTGGGTGCGAAGTGACCCCTCAGAAGATCTCCAGTCCATCTCTGGTCTTTTCACCATTTTTGTCAACAGAAACAGCCAACTCTACAAAAATAATAATGTGGTTTATTTCCAAGCAGAATATGAATGACCTAGGTCCACAGAGGAGACAAACATGCCTTTCCTGGGGTGATCAGGGGTTCCTTTTATTGATTTTGACAGTGGGAGACAAAGTTTGGAATTTAGTGAAAAGTTTTTCCATTGGTCTGGCCCTAAAATGCAGGACATTTGGAAGTGGGAGGAGGGGGCTTGTGGTTTATAGATGGTTTTTACAGTTTTTAGGTTGCTGTTTGAAAACGGAAGGTTGCTGAGATCAGAAAAGAAAGTGTGAGCTAAATAAGGAGGTATTATGTACATTACAAAGATACTATGCCAGGGACAGGATGTAGCAAGAATTCTGTTATCAGAATACTCTAAGTATATTTTCAGGGTCTCTCTTTCCTGCCTCAAAGATAGCTCAAACAAACACTGTGCAATGAACAAAAATATTCAATATATTGTTAAAGAATATCCACTCTGAATGTCTAGGGACTAAAATAGATACAGTCATGAAGGAGGCCAGCATGGGCCTGCCTGATAGAAGCATGCATTTAGGGGGAAGAAACCTACCAAATGGGTTATTTATTGATTTACGCCAGGTAATATTTGAGAATGATAAAGAGTTATAGAATAAAGAAGGGCTAAGGGTAATTGATGCAGGAAAATTATGATGCAGGAAGTCGGGGTGCTTGTGTCCAACATCCAATCCAAGAATATCAGTGAACCTGATTCTTTGTTACACTCTCATGAAGAATTAGAGATGTGGACACAGAGAAGGAATAGTGAAGTAGACTGTTCAGAAAGATAAGAAAAATCAGTGCTCTCAGACAGGGAGTGGGTGCCAGAACATGGGTTGCCAATGAAAAACTGAAATGAGGGGTTTTTATCTGTGTCAGTGGGGCTTTGTTTGGGCTTCTTGTTTTTATTTAAGCTTGTTCAGTCTCTGAGAAGCTGACTTTATGTGAGAAGAGAGAAGCAGCTTGAAGGACTGGCTATCATATTAAGGAGAAATGCCAGGTGGTTGACAAGCTGACTGCTGCTCAAAAGGACTGCAGGGAGTGAGTTGCTTGCAAGGGAGGGCTATTGTATGATGGAGGGAGGAGTTGAGTTGCAGAGTGTAAAATCCTAGGTTCTTTAGGTCCAGATCTCTATGAAACATCCTGAGACACAGAATGAACCACAAATGCATGTAAAGTAGGAAAACAGAAGTTCTAATAGAAAAGTAAAGATTTCTAATAGGGAGGAAATATACCCCATGCCTGAAAGGCTTGTGTGTGGGCAGCTACAAGATAAAGAAAACTGCACTGGGCATGAGATTAGGTGTTACTTTATCTAGGGGGTTGGGGGGTAGTAGCAGTGATGGTAATGAATATTTACTAAGGGAAGGTCTGTCACAGTATCTGGATTCTTTGGTTTTCCATGCTTTCCCTGCACTTGTGCATCTCTCTCAGGTAAGAAATTTAACCATCTAATTTTGCATGCTCAGGGTGGTCTTTGAAGAAATTAGCATCCATACCTGTTTGCACTGCACAGATGTTGACTTTGTGTGTGTTCATTTCCTCTATTTACCTACTCACTGGGTCTAATTCTTGCTTCATAGAGATGAAGAACTACTTTAAACAGAGAAGTCAGGAAGGGCCTCACAGGGGAAATATTGGGTCATCAGAAAAGTCATGACACATTTTTTTCAAAGATAAGCATAGAAAAATACACCATGACTTTTCCAACAACCAATAATTTAAGCTGAGACCTAAATGACAAGAAAGAGCAGCTGGCAGTGTAAAAACGTTCCAGGCAGAAGAAGCAGCAATGCAAAAGTCCTAAGGCAGGTGTGTTGCAAGGACAGACAGAACATCAATGTGGTTGAGTTATGGCCCAGCAAAGAAAGCATTGGAGGAAGCAGAGCAGAAAGAGAGACTAACAGAGAGGCAGAGGTCAGATCACAGAGGACTGTAACAAAACACTCTCATTTTATTTTAAATATAATCAGAAAGTATTGGAGAGTTTTAGACAAGAGAGTAATTGAATATAATGGGGAGAAGGCAGGTCCAAAACCTAAGTAGTAGTTGTGGTCAACAAAATGATGCAGCTGCTTCTTTATTCTTCCATTTTTCCAAATTCTTGAGAATCAGTTTTCTTTTGGTTCACCTACTGGGCTTTTGGTTCACCAGTGGGCTGGTGTGTAGTGGAGTGGCTTGGTTGGCAATTGCAACCAGTGGAGTGGGCTTGCAATTAGAGACAAGTTAGTTCCCTCTAAGGAAAAGCCAGGTGCAGTTCCTAAAGAAAGGGGAAGGAATTTGGAATAGTCCAAGATAGAAAGACTCAAAAGGTAATTCACAGACCACCACTTGGGAGCTCAATAGAAATGCAAATTATCTGGCAGAACCTTAGACCTATTGAATCAGAATGTCTAGGGGTGGGCCTCAGAAATCCACTTTGTGACAATTTCTTAAGCATGCCAAGTTTGCGAAGCACTGATCCAAACATGTCTATTCCAGGTTCCAAAATATAATAAAACTAGGACAAGGAGGTTAAAAGTTAAAAGAATAGGGACCAGCAGGTGGCGTGGTGGTTAAGGCGCTGGACACTCCCACATGGCTGACCAGGGGTCAAGTCCTGAATCTGGTGACTAGTTTCCTCACTTTCTCTCTCTCTCTCTCTCACTCTCACCCTCTGTCTCTCTTTGGTCTAATTAAAAAATAATAAGTGAATGAATAAATAAAATAAATAATTATTTTAAAAAAGTTAAAAGAATAGCTGTTAGGTTGAAATTAGGAAAAAATGTCTAAGTACCTAAAGGTTCAGTCACAGATAGCTGAGGAGCAGGAAGCTCCCTACTGGAGGATAGATTCAAGTAGGAACTCACTAGAAATTCACATAAAGTGACCTTTAAAGTCCCTTCCTAACCAGGGATCTCAACTATGATTTACTTCATATATCTCTGGGTCTTCAATTTAAAATATAACATTTCAGGACCAGCAGTTGGCATAATGGCTATGTCTCTGGACTCCCATGTAGTCAACCGTGGTTCGAGTCCCAGACCTGGTGGCTTAAACCCTCACCAGGCATGTGTATGTGCGTGCCCAAGATTCCAAGAGGAGAATGGAGGAGAAGGGATTGTGGCTTGGCCATCCCCCCTGGGGGGTGATTTCTCACTTTCTGTCTCTCTCTCTCTGTCTTTCTGGTGAGTGCACATGCCCTATAGCAAAAACCTCTCCAATAAATAAATAAATAAATACATACATACATACGTACATAAATTGTGGACAGAAGTCTGACTACTTTTCCTGTTTTTCCAAAACCTTTTCAAAAGGGACTGGGGAAGTCATGCCCCCAAACATTAACAGACCATTTATTTTCTATTAACAGAATTCTTCCTACCTGTTCTTGGCATAGTATCTTTGAGATGTATATTTCAACCGATTACAGTATATTATTTTGCTTATCTCTTCCCAAGACACAGAACTTCCCTTTTCCTTGAGATGTAGATTAAGCCTTTCTTTAATTAAGACACAGATCTTCCCTTCCAATCACCAACCTAAGAATTGTGGAACCCACCTGTAACCTTCAAGCCCCCCCATGTGTCCCGCCTTTTGGGGCCAGACCAATGGAAAAATCTTTTCACTAAATGTTGTCTGTCAATCTCAAAAACAAATAAAAGGAACCCCTGTACATGATTACCCTGAGAAAGGCATGTATGCCTCTTCTCCGGGCCTAGGTCACTCACAGTTGGCTTGGAAATAAACTGCATTAATTATTAATTATTATTTTTACAGTTGGTTATTTTTTTGTCGACAAAATAAATAAAATATAACACTTCTACTGTAAATTCACATTGAATTGTCCTTGAATAGAGAGAGTACATAGAACAGCTCATGTATTCTTATTCCAGTTGCAGAAGACACAACTGTTCTATGCTATTTGTAGCTGTCTTGACCTTGTTTAAACTGTCTCAAGAAGAGGTTAGGCTCTTGTCGGGGGGGCTAAGAAGCCTGGACACTGGAACTTTTCTAATGGGAGAGAGAGCACACCAAGTGCTCTTCCAAATAAAAGTTCTTTTTGGTGTCCAACATCTACACATTTACCTAGTCAGGATCACAAAGGTTGTCCCCACCGTCTGTTGGACCATGGAAACTTAGGGGGAAAAAAGTGAGAGACAAAGTAATAAATATTTATTGGACAGATATACAAATCAAAATAAAATAAAAACTTATGGAAAAACACACATGGTCATCAGTGCAAATTCTTTTTCAGAATTTGGATTTGCATTTCTTCTGATCTGAAATGATCCTGGAGAATTTAGATAGGATGAGGCATTTCTCTTTGCTCTCTCCATGCTTGGCTATGAGGATTACGTGTAGAGCATTTCCCAATCACTCATTTGGAAAATTCTCTTTCACAGAAGTAACATATTTCTTCAAAATAGACTTTAAGTCACTTTATAATGACTTCTGATTAAAAGTAAAACCACTCCTGATATTTCCCCTCTTCTCAAATGATCAGCATTGCTTCCAACCACCAACCTGATTTGTTTTCCCTTGCTTCTGCTTAGATCCAATGACACAGAAAAGCAATCAAATGTGGAGGGCACTGCTTATGGAAGTCATCTTGAGCTGGCCGCCATCTTGAGCTATCCACCATCTTGGAAACCATTAGGTTTCACTTCTTCATTGAGCAAACCATTTCTCAGAAATCATGTGACCTATTGTTCTCCAGTGGGGCGGTTGGGTTCCTAGGCAACAGGAGAGATCCACCCACACCAATGATTGGTTCATGCTGTTCTATCTCATTTGCATGTTGGGCAACCAATCAAGGCCCACCAGCCTGTATATAAGCTCGCTGTTCTTCCTCAATAAACAGAAGACTTGAAGACTTGATCAGTACCTTGTTTTGTCTCCACTCTGTGTGTCTGTGAGTGTTTGTCCCATCTCTCACTCTCTCCCCCAGGAAACCTGTTTGACCATCCTGTGAGTCAGGACAATCAAATGCTGGGGATGTAACAGAGGTACTATTCCTGGTTCTTATGGAAGGGCAATTCTAACTGATAAAGTCATTTTACTGTCACTTAGACCTGTAAAGGTACACTTTGACTATGAGGGAGAACTGTGAATCTCCCAGTTCATTCATCAATGTTCTGAATGTAAAAATGTGGAGAATTATAATGGCCTTTGGCAAAGCCTGCTATTTCAGTTCTTTTTTTTTTTTTTGTCCTTGATAGATATGTTATATTGCAAACCCCTAAGTATTTAGTTCTTCTCTGTCATGAACAAATTCTGAATCTTGACAAGTTTAAAATCTTTGTGGTAAGCATATAATTGTGTAGCATTATAAGGATGAGGTCTTCAAATCTATGGTGGAATACTAAAATGAAAAGTAAGCTGTAATGATGTAAAGAAAAATAATTTGATGGAGATAAATTTCAGTTGATGTGGTTTGTTTGTTCAGGGAGGGGTCAATCCCCATGATCTGTCATTTTGACTGGTTTATTGTTGATTAACTTCCTTTTCCATAAAGAGGGAAAAGAAATATTATTTTTTAGGTGGCAACAACTAAAAAATGTTATACATTTATATCCTGGGGAAATGAACAAGGCAATTAATTCAATGAAAGTTATATATACTGATCCAGGTCATTCTTCTCACTGATTCTAGAATTACTTTTCTAATCCTAAATTTGATTGAGTCACATTCACTGACACTCTTTGTCAAGCCCACACAACTGTGCAAACACGATGGACCAGAATTCAAGGATTTACTTCATCATTGGGCCCCACCTATCTCTCTGGCTTCATCCTTTGCCATTTCTTTCTCCTCACACACAATTTATACCTTAGTCACATTAAAGCATTTTCAGTCCTTCAACAGTCATATCTTTTCTATACTTGGATGTCTCCAATTCTCACCACTCTCCCCTTGCTCTGCCAGGAAGGTAAGTGAGAAAGCACCTTCCATGGGAGATGTCCACACTGCAATCCCTCTCTTCCATTCTCCTCTTGGGATTTTGAGTGCACATGCATGTGTACCCATCATGTGTTTCAAGCCACCAGGTCTGAGAATCCAGACTGGGAATCCAGGTACCTTAGCCACTGTACCACCAGCTAGTCCCAGAAATTTTTTTTTAAAGAGGTTTTTGCTATAAGGTGCATGCGTTCACTAGACAGAGAGAGACAGAGAGACAGAAAGTGAGAAATCTCCCCCCAGGGTGGATGGCCACGCTGCAATCCCTTTTCCTCTGTTCTCCTCTCGGGAACTGGGGCACGCACACACACACCTGGCATGAGTTTTAAGCCACTAGCTCTGGGATCCAAACCTCGGTGGACTACATGGGAATCCAGTGGCATAGCTATTATACTGGTCCCAGAAAATGTTTTTGAATGTAATAAGATACTTAGAAATCAATCTACCAAAAAATATTTTTCTATAATGATCATGCTGTTAATGTTAAATGCCTAAGAATTGCTCACACAACATATATCCACAGCTATGATAAATACAAAAGAGCCAAACAACATGATCTCTCTTCTTTCCAGAACACTGTCTTACACACTTTACCCTCTATAGATAAATCCTTGAAAATTGAAGTAAATACCTACTTTATGCCCATTAGATTTCCCTGGCAAGAATAAAATCTTCCTTGGATTCTGCAAAACGTAGCAGAAAGTAGACCTGAGCTAGGGAACCTGTACCTGTCAACTTCCTGTTTTGTCTTCCTCCTAAAATCAATGTATGCTCACTTGTCCTGAAGCTGATATTATACCTCAAGCCTGAAGGTTGTAATGGAGCTAGAGGAATAGTAGGGAA